GTTTTGCACCGACACTAGCGGGTCGGTGCGGCATACAAGAAATTTCACTCTGTGACGTGCCTTTTTTTCCCCGATCCCTTGCGTCTCCGTGATAGGTCCGGGGGGAGGGACAAAAAAACAAAAACAAAAAAATTAATGGAGCCAAGTCCACAAATATGCCAGAAGACTGGTCTCTTTATATCCTAGAGCTCAGGACAGCAGGAGATCTGCAAGGCCAACACTACTCCATTAGTGGCCTGAATCAGCGGGGGAGGGGAGGAGGAGGGCAGCAGGAGAGGCCGAGGGACAGAGAGCAGGAAGGTCTAAAGGGTTTTTTTTTTGTTTTTTTTTCTTTTTTCAGGCCGTGAGAAGGGAGAGAACGGACGCATGAGGGCGTCACGACTCCTCGTTCCCGGAATCGTCGTCGTCGTAACAGTCGGCGTCCTCTTCCTCCTCGTCTTCGTCGTCTATGTCGTCGTCGTACAAGTCGTCGTAGAGTAAGTCTGAGCTGTTATCACTAGAAGGCACTTTGGTTTTGATGCAGTACTCCGCGAGGGTGGTCGGGACTTTCACGCCATCTTTCTCGGCTTCGGCTTTAGTCGCCGACACTTGTTTCCTGTAGAGAGATGGAGGGAGGGGAATGTCAAAGCAGATGTCAGGAACAATCCAATTTATGGCTCGTATGACCATTAAACAACTTCCATCTCCGCATGCTGCGTTTCCTTAGTATCAGTATCTCCATCACGTGAAGCAAGGATGGTAAACTGCGGCCCTCCATCTGTGGTGGAACTACCAATCCCATGAGGCTGTGCAAGATACCCACAGCCACAACTCCCGGAGAGAGATGAGTCATGGGATTTGTAGTTTCACCAGAGCTGGAGGGCCGGAGTTTGGCTACCCCTGACGTAGGGGCTGCTAGAAGGAACCAGGCATCCCAAAACTCCCAGTACTACCAATACAACCAGACATTGCATTAGGAATCAGGACCTCCTTCCTCCTACTGGGGATCCCGCTAGTGATAATAAAGATCTATATAGAGGGATCGGGACCTCCTTCCTCCTGCTGGGGACCCCTCTAGTGATAATAAAGATCTATATAGAGGGATCGGGACCTCCTTCCTCCTGCTGGGGATCCCTCTAGTGATAATAAAGATCTATATAGAGGGATCAGGACCTCCTTCCTCCTGCTGGGGATCCCTCTAATGATGCACCCCAGAATTCTATTCGGTTTCCCCCCTGCCCGGGCACATTGCTCATTCAGCAGTACTCTAAAATAAGCATACCCCAATTTTTTTTTCTTTGTAGTTCTGGCCAACACTTCACCCCTAATATTGAACTGTAGCACAGAGCTTTTTCCATAAGCACATTTAGAAACGCATTCGATTTGGCATTGTAAAACATTAAACTGCAGTTTCCACGGCTTTGACCAATCTTCCAGCAATGCCAAATCATGTTCAAAACACCGCCAGAAATAGCAATTCTATTGCACAACTTTTTGTCATCAGCAAAAAGACTTTCCCACCAAACCTTCAGCTGCATCACTTACAGAAAGATTACACTGAACGGGACCTAGTACAGAGCCATGCGGTCCACCACTAGTGACTGGGCTCTGTTCTGATTGGTTGGTAGAGGCAACTGCCCCAGTTTTTATTAGCTGCAATGAGTTTTAAAAATTAAATGGGGGTAGAGAAGGTCTAGTAGACTTCTCCAACAAGGCCACTCACCTGATAATCTCTGCATACTCCTTGTCCTTTCCTTTACTGTCCCTCCATTTCCTGAACATTACAGAAGCGTCTACGTTGGCCGGGGAAAAGGTGTTTGGTTCGTTCAGCAGAGAGATCACACTCAGTAGAATGGTCCTGAAGAGAGAAAGAACAGTTGGCGTCAGGGTGCTTAGGAGGTCATCAACCAACAGATCCATCCACCCGTAGCCACTTCATCTACAGGGGGACATTTTTTTTATTTCAATGTTTGAGGAGGAAAGAAAGATCAGCTTGATGGAAACCTTCACAATACAGGGTCAGGTTCTAAACGAGCATTTATGCAAACTATTTTTTTTTAATTCTTTATTAAAGGTATATGAAAATAAAGCGTACACATGCATATATCAAGTCATATTTCCCCACAGTGGGGTCACAGCATATACAAAGAGCTTAGGTGGCGGCTAAGACAGAGAAAATCATAAAGGGGATACGTGGCCGTCCCTGTTTCACTACAAATGGATGTCAAGCTTCAGTGATGTGCCGTTGGGTGACCTAGCACCCTGGTTCGGGGTCATAAACCATGTCAAGCGTTGACCTAGTCGTGTCTATGCAGGACCACCAATGATGTGGGCGTTGATTAACTGGTAC